AGGAGAGGCTTCTGACCTGAAGCGGGCGTGCCACTAACTATACAGCAAGCGCAAACGACTCGCCATCGCTCGGACGTCCATCCCCCCGTGCACTTTTCGATCTCGTGTTTTTTTTGTTTGTTTGTTTGTTGCCAGATGCTCCAGGATGCTCCCCGATGGTCCCCGCCGAGAAGAATGCACACGTCCGAGCGATGCCACGATGATAATTCATATGTCACCGTGCGCGCGCCTCGGCGGCGCCCGAGGGGGGGGTACCCAGTGGAGCAGCCCTGGAGGGTTGATGTGCTTACCGGAGGTCTCCAGTCATTTCCCGGAGCCGTCTCTTCATCCCCAGGCCCCCTCGCGTCGTGAAAGAATCACGACGGGAAATGGTTTCGTTATTTTCGGCCTCTGGGGGCCCTCGCTGGGCCTCGGGACCGTCAAGAAACGACTCGGGATGAGAAACTGGTCCCGGGGAATGAGTCGATACCTCAGGGGGGCGACGTCATAAGAGCCGTCGAGGGTCTGGGCCCGAGTCGCTTTCTGACTGTCCCAGGGCACAGCGAGGGCAACTGGAGGTCGAGCGTAGCAACAAACGCCGTCCGTCGCCGTATCTGACGCTTGTTCACGGCGCGATGGGGGTCTGGGAGGGTGGGGAGGGGGGAGGACATCGAGGGGCAGCGGTAACAGAGGAATTCAGGGGGAGATTTTTCTTTTTTTGGGGGGGGGAGTTGAAAGATCGAGGGGGGGAGCGGGAGGAATCGAGGAGCAGGGGGGGGACCGAAGAGGGGGGCGAGGGGGGTGAGAGCGTAGGGGGCCGCCGGAGCGGCCCGAGGAGCAGCAGGCAGGGGGGAAAAAGCAGCAGCAGCAGGAGGACGCAGGAGCAAGAGCGGGGTCGAGGCTCGGGGCTCGAGGGCCGAGGGCCGAGGGTCGAGGATCGAGAATGGCGCATCGAGGGTCGAGGGTCGAGGTGCGCGGATCGGGGACGGCGGATCGAGGGGCAAGGATCGGTGCTCGCGCATCGAGGATGGTGGATCGAGAGTGACGGATCGGGGGTCGAGGCTTGAGAGGATGGAGGTTCGAGCATCGAGGTTCGAGGATCGAGGTTCGACGGCTCGAGGGTCAGCGGGAGCGGGGGGAGCAGCAGCAGGAGGAGGAGGCCCCCAAATGCCCCGGGCGCCCCGCAGCTCCGGACCCTCGTCGCGAGGGAGAGCGGGCGAGGCGCTGGACGAAGGACGATCCACGACCCTCGATCCTCGAACCTCGATCCGCGATCCCCAGAAACTCGACCCTCGACCCTCGACCCTCGGTCCTCGATCCGCGCTCCTCGATCCTCGACCCTCGATCCTCGAGCCCCGGCCATCAACCCTCAATCCTCGATCTTCGATCCTCGATCCGGCATCCTCGGTCCGCGAACCTCGAACCTCAGATCTCGATCCTCGAATCCGCCGACCCTTGGGAGCACGATCCTGTGCACGAGCCTGGGAGGCCCGGCCGAGCCAGTGCACGAGCGCGCCGGGGAGAGGCCCCCCTTCAAAAACCCAAGAGGCCCCAAAAAGTCCCCAAGAGGCCTCCGAGAGGCTCCCACGAGGCCCCGCAACGACTGGACCGTACGTGCTCCGGACGTGCACCCCGCGGAGCGAGGAGGAAGCTCGATCTTCGATCCTTGAACCTCGAGTCTCGAGCCTCGAGCCTCGAACCTCGAACCTTGAACTTCGATCCTGGAATCTCGATCCTCGAACCTCGATTCTCGAACCTCGATCCTGAAACCTTCTCGATCCTCGATCCTTGAACCTCGATCCTGGGACCTCGATCCTGGAACCTCGATCATGGAACCTCGATCCTCGAGCCTCGATTCTCGAGCCTGGAACCTCAATCCACCAAAACGAGGAAAAGCCCAAGTGGCCTGCGCACACCCGGCGACCGGCAGCAACCCCGCCACCAGCAGGGTCCTCGCCAGCTGCCCGGCGCCGCGGCCTGGGAGGGCGCCGATGCCGACGCCGACGCCGACACCGACGCCAACGCCGACGCCGACGCCAACGCCGACGACGACGACGACGACGACGACCACGACGACGACGACGACAGCGGCGGCGGCGATGAGCCAGACGATCGGAGCTTGGGGTGTTTTTGGGCCTCCGTGGACCCCTCGTCGGCACGGCTGGATCCGCCTCGGAGCTCTGCGCCCGCGCGCGCCCTGGGACAGCTGCAGGGGTCGGCTTCGGAAGCCCGCTTGGCCAGACCCCCCGGCGTCGCGAGCTGCCAGTTGCGACGGCCTGGTCTTCAGGTCCTCCCAGACATGCGCCTTGGGTCGGGCATTCCCCCCTGCAGGCGGGTTTTGGGCGAGAAGTCGAAAAATAACCGACACAAAACCGAAACTAATCGAAGAATCGTCCCTGGACGTTTTTTTGTTTGTGTGTGCGTGTGTGTGTGTGTGTGTGTGTGTGTGTGTGTGTGTGTGTGTGTGTGTGTGTGTGTTTGCGTGTGGCAATTTTCGAATATTTCTCCTGCGTGGGGGACA